GGAGCGCCGCCACGCTTCCCAAGCGGCGCACTATCCAGTGCGCCACCGGGCCGGCCCTAGAAAGGTTTGAATAGACACTTCACCAATGAAGATACATGGATGGCAAATAAGTCATTAAAAGATGCTTAACATTGCTAGTCATTAGAGAAATGCAAAGTAAAACCACAACAAAATATCACTACACACTGATTAGGGTACTAAAAATTAAAAAGTTTAACCATACCAATTATCGGCAACAGTGAAGAGCAACCGGAACTCTGATACGTTTCTGGTGGGTATGTAAAATGGTCCAGCCACTTTGGATTTGGAAAACAATTTGGCAGTTTCATAAAGATACAGCTACCATGTGGCCCACTTGTAGGTATAAAAACCTATGTCCATACAAAAGTTTGCACATGAATGTTCATAACAGCTTTCTTTGTAATAACTGAACACTGGAAGTAACCCTAACATAAGGTAAATGGATCAGCAAATTGTACTATGAGTGTACGCCAAAAAGTTCATGGAAAAATGTAATTAAAAGATAATATGAATCTTTCTATGAACTTCTTATTTTTAATATATGTATTTTTTACTTTTTCAAAATAACACTTATGCACTTCAGAAATTACATGTACATTGTAGTATTAGATGTAGGAATAAATTGTATGTGTATTAATGTACAGTGTCAAAAATTTAGAAAATATGAAGGAACAAAAAAGAAAATAATAAATTCTATTATTCAAGGAATACCACTAGCAATATTTTGGCATATATTCTGCCAATTTTTTTTTTCTTTAAAAAGATCAACAAAATTTGCAAACCTTTATCCCGCCTGACCAAGAAAAAAAGAAAGAAGACTGAAATTACTAAAATCAAAAATAAAGCAGGGGCCTTATTACATTGTCATTATGGGGTTTTTTGGCTGGTAAGATTTAGATTCTCTTTCTCATTTGCATTTTTGTGCTACCAGTGGGTTCTGTTCTTGTGTATTGGTGGTAGTGATTATTGTTTTTTAGATTCCAGATGCAGGACTCCCTTCAGGATTTCTTGTAGTACTGCTGGTGTAGTGGTGAGCTATGCAGTTTTTGTCTGTCTGGAAAATACACTATTTTTCCCTCATTTCTGGAGGATAGCCTTGCTGGGTAATATTCTTGACTGGAATACTTTTTTTTTTTTTTCTTTTGGTATTTTGAGTTTATCATCCCATTTTAGTATTTTTTCTTTTTTTGTATTTTGAATATATCATCCCATTTTCTTCTGATCTGTAGAGTTTCTATTGAGAGGTCTGTTAGTCTGATAGGGGCTCCCTTATAGATAAGTGACTTAGTGCTTTTCTCTTGCTTCTTGAGATTCTCTCTTTGTCTTTGAGCTATGCCAGTTTGACTATAATGTGTCTCAGAGGATCTTTTGGGGTTGAATCTGTTTGGGGATCTTTGAGCCTCCTGGATCTGAAGATACATGTCTCCCAACACCTGTGAACTTTTCCATTATTATTTCATTGAATAGGTTTTCCATGCCTTTTCCTTTCCACTCCCCTTCTGGAAAACACATGATTCAAATTTTTGTGCACCTAAGGTTGTCTGCTAGCTCTCTTAGATTTTCATTTAAAAAATTTTTTTTTCCTTTTTTATTTTTGTCTGCCTGGGTTATTTTGAAAAGACTACCTTCAAGATCAGAAATTCTTTCTTCTGCCTGTTCTAGCCTGCTGCTTAAGCTATTGATTGTTTTTTTATTTCTTTGAGTGAATCTTTCAGTTCCATGAGTTGTGCTACATTCTTTTTTAAGGTGTTAATCTCTTTGTATATTTCCTCCTTCATATCCTGGATTTTTTTCTAGTTGTCTGACTGAGTCTGAGTCTTCTCATGAGTTTCCTTAAGATTGTTGCTTGGAATTCCTTTTCAATCATTTCAAGGATGTGGTATTTGAGAATTACTATATTACTAATAATTACCACTTACTATAGGGTCTGGTATTTGAGAATTACTGTATTCTTTTGGTGGTGTAGTACTTTCTTGGTTTTTCATATTTCTAGTATCTCTATGTTGATATCTGGTCATCTGGTAGAGCAGTTGCTTCTTCTATTATTCTGGAGCAGGCTTTGAGGAGAGAGACATCCTTTTCTTTTTCCAGTCTCCACTGTTGACTCTCCTTGTGTCAATGCAGTCAATTGCCTGGCAGGCTGCCTGCATGGTGGCTATGGCTATAGCCATGGGCATCAAGCCACTTTTGCAGCAGCCGTGGCTGTGGTGGGCTACCTGCACAGAAGTGGTGTTTCTGGCATGTTCTCTTGCCTGCTTCCTGGGGGGTGGGGGCGGGAGGAGGCTGCCCTCAGCTTCTGCCTAGGACCCTGGGTGTGCTGTCTTGCCTGCTTCCGGGTGGAGGGAGTTGCCCTTGGCTCCATGAACTTTTTGAGGTATCCTTATATATTCATGCAGTAGACTACTACTCATCAATAAAAAAGAATGAACTATTCATGCATGCCACATGAGTCAATCTCAAAATAAATATGCTGAGTGAAATAAGCCAGCCATACTATGGTGCACTCACTGGCTGAGTGCGGTGCGGGCGACACCAAGCCAAGGGTTGCCATCCCCTTACCGGTCACGAAAAAGACAAAAAAAAAAAAAAAAGAAGTGATGACAAGAAGAGTCTGCATTACCAGAATTTACTACTATCTTGAAGGAAACATTCAAGGATAACAACACAGCCTCTCCGATGGCCTATGCAAGTCATAGGGCATGCTTCCAGAAAGCTGAGGACACCATACAATAGGGCACCATTTTCACCACCTGTTTTCAACCTTCAAAGTAGATCAGACTCCCAATTTCATATGCTGAAGACAGGAAAGCAAAGCTCTTCCTGAAACCATGCAACAAGTCTGAGCTACAGTGGGTCCCAGGGTCACTCTGCCCAAGGCCACTTTCACCAGACCAGAGCATCCTGAAAAGCGGTCTCTGCGGAAAGCCCACACTTCTGAACCCAGGACCATTCTTACCTGAGTCTAGGTGGACTATTCTAGCTCTCTTCAGTTTTCCAAGTGGTTTATACTTTGGCTCAGTACTTTGGGAAGATCGGCATAAAGGCTTTAAGCTGGAATGAATCAGAATATTTAATTTTTCCTTTTGAGAAAGCTGCTGGCATATAAGCATCATTTATAGAGATAACAAAAATGCAACGGTAGGGAAAATCACACAACTATTTTTAAGACCTGAGAAGCAATGTTTAATAGCTAAAAATCACTTTATATAACAAAGTGGGAAATATATGCACTAAATACAGCCTGGTAGATATGTAATTATTAGAATAGAGTAAACTTAGATCTTTGCTCTTCCAATGCAGAAAAGCAGGAAAAACTAGAAGGTAATACAGTGACACCTTCTGGTGTTCAGGGAATATAGTATAGCTAGCTGCTTCCGCTTCCCTGTTTTTATTTCTGTTTTTGTGGCTGGCCGGTAAGGGGATCTGAATCCTTCACCTTGGTGTTATCAACACCATGCTCTAATCAACTGAGCTAACCAGCCAGCCCCTGCTTCCCATTTTAATCAGTACTATGCTGTAACCAACAGAGTTAACCAGCCAGCTCCCTTCCCTATTTAATGAGGTTTTCTTCTATCTTGCAAGAATCTCACAAATTTGATCTCTTCATTCTAGGTCTGAAAGTTAAGACACAGTGGAGATAAAATACAACAGGGCACAAAATAAGATGTGAAGTTGCCCTACCCCTTTTGGAGGGCCACATGGCCAAATGCTTCCTTCTGCCAGATTCCCAGAAACCTTTAGGATAAAATATAACATACCACTTGAAGAGAGCCATTAAGCTCCCAGCCTGACAATTATTTATAACTACAGCCATTTTATGTCTTCGCTCCTATTCTCAGGTCCACAACTATTTTCTGCATCCATTCCTGTGCAACCCTCTAGAATCTCTACTCCTATATTTTCTGCATCCATTCCTGTGCAACCCCTCTAGAATCTCTACTCCTATATTTTCTGCATCCATTCCTGTGCAACCCCTCTAGAATCTGCTCTTTTACCGTTTCTCTCTGCAGTCATTTCAACTATTCTCCTTGGGTAACTTTTTCAAAGTGAGGTCATCCTCTTCCACCTATTCACAATAGAATTCCCTGATAAAAATGCAAGGGGGGAATATGCATTTTAACAAGCACCCCAAGTGATTCTTAAGTATGTTCAGTTCTACGTATATTCAAGTTTATTTCCATAAGGTATACTTAAATCTCGGCTATTTTAAGATCAAAAGCCTCTAGACTCTTGCCTCCAGTTACCATCTTGTCTGTAACTTTCCCTTCACTGCCAACTTTTGGAAGAATAGCCTGTCCTCCATATTCTTAATTTCTTCACTTGTTACCCATTTCTCAAACAACTGAAATCTGGCCTCTAATTCACAAGTCTACTGAAAATGCTCTCCCTGAGCACCCACAAACAGCCTAATTATCAAGGTAACAGGACACTTCGCCGTGCCTTTATTATTTGACTGACATTGACACCCTCTACTTTCCCTTTCGTTTGCCTCCACCACATGATTATCCTCACCTGGCTCTACTCCCACCGTCTGGGCCACTCTGTCTATATTTCATTCCAGATCCTCTTCCTCCACTCCTCACTTAAATGTGCTGCCCAGAATCCTGGCCTCAGCTGGTGACCCCTACTCACACCCTCCCAGTGACCTCATCTGTATTCATGGTATCAGTTATCACCTGCACAGCCAACTCCAAATCTGTCTCCAACCCAGACCTCCCTCCAGAGCTCCTGCATCCCACTTTCCATCAACATCGGCAAGACTGGTCCTGTAAGTCCTCCTGAGAGTCTTTGGGACAGATTCCCTGACACCTTGGCCTAATTCCTTCACGCACCCATAGTGGCTTGTGTACAGTATGCTTCCATTTACAGCCATCCTCCCCATGAGACTAGAGCTCTGTTGGGACAGAGTGTTGTCTTAGTCAACTTGGTCACAAGCACAGTGCCTAACATATAGTTGGTACTAAAGAAATCTTTAATGAATGGATAAATAAAACTCAAAGAGGTGAAGAAAACAGTAATAGTAAAAGATATCTATTATACTGTTTCATCTTTCCTCTAGGTTTTATTTATTCGTTCAATAGATATCTTTAACTTTCCACCTACTTGGCACTGTGCTAGGTGCTTTTCATATGTCATATGCAAACCTCTGAGAAAGCCACTGAATAGACATAAATATTCCTATTTTGATGACTCAAAATGACTAGCTCAGAGAAGTGATCTGGCCAAGATCACACTGCTAGGAAAAGGTAGAACCAGGACTCAAAGAAGGCCAAATGACAAACACTACCTGTGCATCCTGCCTCACTGTGAACTAAAGGAAACACTGAAAGCAAAAAGTGGAAATGAATATAAATTCAAAAGTGTCACAACAGAAGCCAGTTCTAGATTTGTAAACATTCAGGCAAAACTATTCTTTGTCCCCTAGCTAAGAGCCACAATAGAAACAATACAAGTTCTGCAAGTAGCAACTACTCACATTTCTATAACTTTATCCATAGTTGTGCCTACTGGAATGACATTCGGATATGCATTCACAGGACAGATGTAGCTCAAGAAATCTTTAATCTAGAAGAAGGAAAATAAAATGGATCAGTTATCTCTATAATGAAAGACTGCAGTGTTAGAGGAGGTAAGGGGAGGCCAGGGTAAAGAGAAGCAGAAATCTCTTACAGCCCTGGTTCCCAGTGCCCACTGCACGTGGGGATCACCTGGGGACTTCTTAGGAAAAAGAAATACCCAATGCCCAGACTTCACTCCCAAAGATCCTTTGAACACTGAACAATACTCAGTACATTTAAATGTTCCCCAGGTGATTCTGTTCCACGGTAAGAGCTTAAGATCACTGATTAACGGGATTCAAAGACTCTATTTTTTAATAGGACATTTGTTTCCTTGTCTAAGATGGTCCTTCGCCCATATTTAACAAATCCCCTTTCAAGTGAGTTAGAACTTAGCTATCAACTATAATACGCACAAGACAACAAGGTCTTAAAACGGCATATCTTTCCTCCTACAAACAGTCATTAGCAACATCATGGGAGCTGCATCTTCGGGGTTACTTGACTTGTTCTAATGTTCTATTCTCCTTGAGCAGAACACCATGCACTGGCGCAGGACTCCAAATGCTTCTGCCCATTGCATCTTGATATCGGAATTGCCAAGGAGAAAACAACACAGTCAAGCACTGGAAGGAACGAGGCTTTACTTAAAGAAGACAGACAGCACAAGATCAGCTTCAATAGTGTGCGCCAGTCCCCCATGGCCAGCGGGCCTCTCTCTCCTGCAGCCATGCAAGGCAATTTGCTTACACGCACCCCTCTCCTCCCGCACAGGAAGTACCCCACCTTCCCTCTCCTCTGCCCTGTGGTGTCTGAAACATTGAAAGCTGAGATAAGCCTGAGGGCTGTTGACACAGAGGCAGAGTTTGTGAGACTCAAACAGAGAAAGATGCTCCTACATAGGGTGATAAGCCAACAGAGGTGTGTGCACTCTTTATCTCTTGGTTAAGGAAGTTTCCAGGGCCAAGGCATGTTCTTATGTGGCCAAGTAGGGGTTGAAAGACTATGCACGTGTAGACTGCCTTTCCCAACAATTCTAAACAAGCACAATTACATGGAAAAGTTTCATAAATCACTTAATTTTTTGTAAAGTTCAGACTGCTAAACAGAGGAACTGTGTCACTGTTCATCAAAACATATCTACAACCCAGACCAATTTCAGCTTTGTCGCTTATTAGATCTTAGTGAACTTGTGATCTTGGTCAAGTTACCTTAAGTCTTTAAGTCTTAGATTCTTCATCTAAAAGTATAAAGAAGATAACACATGTACAGTGCTTAGCCCAGTACCTGGTGAAACATTTATTAAAATTATCCATTACAAAGTTGATAATGACAACACAAAAACCTTTATTCCCTTTTGCAAATGGAAAGACTTAGCACAAAGTAATTATTAGTATCCAAATTCCCAAATAAAGGACCAAATTAAAAGAGACAGGAACCCAGGAATTACCAATAACTCTATATTAAAGTAAAATGGCTACTTTAGTTAGGACAGTGGGGAGGCAGGAAGATCTATTCTTTAGATATCTTTCATAAACAATTTCTTTTGTACCTTCAAAGTAGGCGTGCAAATAGAAACCATTACTTGCCTGCCCACCACCTATTTGATTTGCACAATCAATCAGAGTTGAGGCTGGTAGAAATCTAAGGCTTCTTAAGGGAATCAGGATAAAGTAAGATCAAGCCTATAGCAGAAAAGATTCATTACTACTCAGAGATGAAGTGGCCACAAGGAGTCAAGAGACACCTAACAGAGAAGCACCCTCTCTCACTTGTATAAGTTTACACACTTTCATCAAATGCCTGCCTTAAAACAATACATTAATACAGTCAGTTCTCACTATTCGCAGTAGTTATGGTCTGTAAAGTCACTGTGAACACTGAATTAGTGAATACTGAACCACTGCTCCTAGGGAAAATACAGGGTAAATTCCTGCAAGCCTCTGGTGACATCGTTTTTTTCAAGCAATCAATAATAACCTTGTTTTATGTATGTTTCTGTTTAAAGATGCTTCATTTAATATATGTTGTTGATTCTTTAACACTGAACTCACAACCAACAGCACTGTAACTCATGCCTGAACAAAGCTTATCTGATGTGTATTTTCTCCATAAGGCAAATCATAGCCTCCTTGGACTTATAAATACTAGATTGAACTTCAGCACTATGCTTGGGCACCATTGTAAATAGAGAAATCACCAAGAAAAAGCATAGAAATGCAAAAAACATGGCACGCAATAGACCACAAAAGGGACACTTGTTTACAGTGTGAAATTGAAACTAAAAGGCAGTGTCCCCTTGTTGGACCTGAGCTGGGCACGCACATGTTGGTGACTCAACTTTTTTACCACACTATACATGTCTACAAATGACCACAAAAGCACTGTGATCACGGATATTGGAGTTACAGATAAATTTCACCCAGTAGGCAAACATGGAAATATGGAATCTGCAAATAATGAGGACTGACTGTATTTAGAAAAAAACTGAAAGAAAATGAGATTTGAATAGAAAAAGAGATGCCTCTGGAAATCAAGGGGGGTGCTGTCAACCATGAAGGCTTTGGAATGGTCAGCAACCAGGGTTATAAGTACATGAGATCCTCTTACCTCACTGAAGGAGGAATGAAAAGAAAAACAAGCTCTGTATGAACACTCTCCAGTCCTAAAGGGAAGTGAAAATAGAAAATAAAAAGGTCAGTTAGCAAAACTAAACTATGTTCTAAACTTCCACCCTTCCCATTTAGGCTATTTCAGTATGCAATCACCCTTCAATCAGGAATTTCTTCTTCGGGTAGGAATGAACTTCTTCCAGAAATGGAAATCTGGTGTAGACATTCTGAATAGCCAAAGTCAAGGAATGTTGCTAAGATATGGTCATATGGTAACTCCTCTACTCTGCCAAGGGCATCTATTCTCTATGACATCAGGCTATAACTCTTAGCCAAGCATTCGGATACCCTCCGTCGCCAACCATCTTATCTAACACACTACAGTAGACCTCAGGATTTGTTGGCTAATGGTATTGCGATAGGTTTAAAGGCAGCATACCTTCAACTTAAATAAAGTTTAAGTTTAAGAAGTTATTTCCCACAGTTATATCCTCTTCTTGGACTTAGGCTTAACTGCATTTAAGCTAAATTAAATCAGATAACTTACCTTTAAACAAGGTTTCTCTCAGAAGACTTATGACATTGCTTTCTTACCTCACAATGACATTTGTTTTTCTGGTTCTTTCTCCAAACCACATGGTAGATGGCTTAATACTAATTGTTTGGAGTGGAATTCTATTTTTGGAAGTAATTCCACAGGGTAATTTGTTCCACTGAAAATATTCCTCTGCCTAAAAAAGATAAAAAATATAGAAAAACAATTCTACATTTTCAACATATCTGTGTGTTGGTAGGGTCTCAAAAATAAATATAAATAAGTTTCAAACATGAAAAATAAAATGTAGACATGACGAAAAAAATCAGATAATTCCGAATTGATGAACATTCTGCAAAACAACCATCAGTATGAGGAAAGAGAAATGAAAGGCTGGAGACAAGATCTACATCAACAGAGACCCCAGCAACCATCAGTATGAGGAAAGAGAAATGAAAGGCTGGAGACAAGATCTACATCAACAGAGACCCCAGGTGGATGCAACACATGATCCTTAATTAAATCTCACATGTCCCTGCTCCTCTGTCCCCACAAGCTATAAAGGACACTATTGGTACAACTGAGGAAATTTGAATACAGACTGTATCCTAGCTAATCACATTGTATCAACATTGAATTTCCTGAGTGGAAAAGCTATATTGTGGTTACATAGGAATCTGCTCTTGTTCTCAAGACACATGTGCTCAAGGATTTGTGGTAAAGTGCCATGAAGTTTGAATTTACTCTCAAATGGTTTGGGGTGGAGGTTGGCTACAGAGAGAGAGAGACTGAGACAAATTGTTAACAAATTGGCAGATCCAGATAATCCAGATGAAGGGGTATATGGTGTTCTTTGTACTAGCCTAACAACTTTTCTGTTTTAAAATTTTTCAAAACAAAGTTGGAGGAAAAAAAAGTTAACAAATAAAAGTGTTTTCAACAGGTTGAAAAATGATGATTTTTCCAAAGACATCATTTTTAGATATAGATCCTTCAAAACCATTAACACTCCATCCCAATCAAATCTTTTCCAGGATGCCTTTGGTGCTGTTTCTACTGAAGTTGCGAATGAGATAGCAACAGGACCCTACAAGCTCTGGACCCAGCAGTCTATATTTTGTTGTTGATGTTGTTTGTTTGTTTGTTTGTTTATTTTGGGGCAGTCAGCATTTTTAAAGGCTACGTGATCTAAGAAATACCTTAAGCCACTAGAAGTAGTGTCTCAAGAAAAGTAGCCATGTGGAAAATGACAGCAGTAGTGATTACAAATTAAGGTGCTTGGTCAGATGTGAGAAAATTCAGAGCAAAAGGAAATTTTCCAATTAAGAGATTTATGGGGCACAGGGTCAAAGACTACAAGTCCAACAGAAAAAAGGACAAAATGGTTTATATTTTGTATCTACATTATTTTTATCCATCCAAGAATCCACCAGATGTGTGTGTATATATAAGCATTTATATATATGTATACACACCCAACATGATGGAAGAAATTCATGAATGCAAATTATAATATGCAGCTTACCAATCATCAAAAGTAATTTCTTACCTTGCAGCTCTCTTACAGTGGCATGAAGGAGAACATTCCATGCTGTAGATAAGAATTCTTTTTTCGCTTAAAACTATGCTTTCTTATTAGAGCTGAGCAACTTTTTTTTTTTAAAGATGACTGGTAAGGGGATCTTATTAACCCTTGACTTGGTGGTGTCAGCACCACGCTCTCTCAAGTGAGCTAACCGGCCATCCCTATATAGGGATCTGAACTCTTGGCCTTGGTGTTATCAGCACCACACTCTCCCAAGTGAGCCACGGGCCAGCCCTGGCTGAGCAACTTTCTTTTAGGTTTTTGATTGATGGAGCCAATATAGTACTATGATGGAGATCTAAATGTGTAAATGCACTGCTTACTAAAACAATTTCTCAGCATTTGAATGCTTTTTAAAATTCAGAGGAAAATTATGATCACTCATACCACTGCATTTGAAGAATACTAATTAGTATTAACAATTAAAATGAAAAAAACATTTTAAAGGCAAATTCAAAATGAAAGCCTTATACCTGGCATTTAATAACAGAAGCCAGTTCTATGGAGGCATTAGGAAACAACTTACAAGTTGCAAAGATATTGGAAACATTCCTTTAAAATTGGACCTTTAAAATTCCTTTAAAATTAATACATGTAGGCGGCTTGCGATCCCGTTGCCGGTCCCCGGTCCGGTACGGGGGCAACACTGAGGGTTGCAATCCGTTGCCGGACACGGAAAAAAGACAAAAGACAAAAAAAAAAAAAAAAATTAATACATGTAACTATTTCAAAGTCTGAAGTTATATCTAGATATTCATCTCAAACGAGTAGAAGAAAAATAAAGTGTATAAACGTGCATGTCACGAGTCTCAAAAATAAATAGCAGTGGATCATGAATATGTGTTTCCTTTAGTTATAAGCTATAACATATCACTAATTTTGTTACAAATAAATTTGTATTCTCAAATGTGTAGGAACATATTTCATTTAAAAGATGTAAGAATCTGCATCTATTTACTAATTATGTCATGTACTGTAATGGAATACAGTGATATATAGTTGCATGACCTTGAGTTAACAACTTAGGATCAGTTGTCACCTCAGGTTTTACATTTGTGAAGTAAGGACCCTAAAAATGGAATTTCTGAGGTTCATTCTTGACCTAAAATTCTGTTTTTATGGATCAGACAAACAATATGAGAAAAGTCACTTCCACATGTACCTTTGGGTGCCGGCATGCGTGGATGGGAGTGCTACGGTCTGTTGTAAGATGATGAAGAATGTCAGGCATGTTTCTAAACATATCCAGTTTATCCACATGAACCTAAAAAAATAACAGAGATAAGCAAATCACTCGAAATGTGTCTCCTGTATACAAATTTTTCCAGGGTAATTATTCAGGGGCCAAACATCCAGTTAGTAAACTAACCCTCTCTTCTTTCTTGAAACCTACTTTATGGCTATTTCTGTGCACATGAGAATCCCGCCAAGCTGTCAGCAGGCAAAGGGCTGGCCAGTCAAGGTTACTGCCTGTTGCTGGTGGTAAAAAATTATGGAGACGTGGCTCATGGATATCATTTGATCGTGCTAATATTGTCCTTCAGTTCTTCAAGAGTCATTCAATTGATATTTATTGTGTACCTACTATGTGTCAAGCTTTATTCTAAACACTGGGTATATAGCAATGAACAGAGCAGACAAAAACAATCAAAAATCACCTACTCTTAAAGACATACACACAAGGCGGCACAGAGGGGCAGTTGGTAGGGGGAAAACTGGACTAGAAAGCAGAGAACCCAGATCCCCTCACTTCACTGGGCTTAAAGGGGGAGAGCTGATGCAGAAAAGCAATTATTCAAACTTTTAAAATTTAAGGCTAATTCATTTTAAAGTGTTAAAACCAATGTGTCAGTTTTACTTAAAGCTTATCTTCTAGCTACTTCAAAGTAAATAAGTAGCAAAATTCATATTAGCATTCTGAAATGGCAAAGAAAAAAAAAGTAGTGTTCCCATTTTGATGTCTGAATAACAGATTAGAATAATGTCAAGTTGCCATGGTAATTGATACCAAGACAGGTATAAAAAGAATACAGTATAATTACGTCCTTATTCTGTGGCCTACTCTGCTCATTACCCATCTACTAGTGACCAATAAGTAACAATGAATTTGATTTTCTGGTCTCTCTGTGGAGGGGGGAAAAGGAGGTAAATACTGAGATGTACAAAGAGAGCTATAGAAACGTTCACTCCCACAAAATTGAAGACTGAAAAAATTGCCATAGATCACCACTAAAGTCCCTTACTTAGTCAAAAACCTCACTGCTCTCCCTTTTTAAAATTGTTCCTATGCCCTGCAAAAGGATTATTAGACTTAAGATAGGGTTCACGCTGGAGGCAGTTTGCTTAGAGGAAACTCTGAGGTCACCACCAAAGGCCTGTTTCCTGCCACCCCTGAGCCCCCTCCTCAGCCCACGGCTTTTTCCTGCAAGGGCCCTAGAACGGAAGCTCCCAGTCTTCTCCATACCACACACCACTAAAATTGACAAAGCAAATCTGAGACTGACGAATGGTTGCTTCATTTATATTTTGTCAAAAGAGAGCATGAGGGAATTAAAAAGTACAGGTAGTACATATAAGTATATGAGTGTGTGATAACACACGATCTATTATCACTGTGATTTTTTAACTTAAAGGGCCATTTTAACACCAAAAAACAAAGGAAGGGCAATCTCTAAATGAAAGCAATCCTTCCCAAAATGGAGAGCTGGCAACTTTACACATTTGGACAGAAGGACTTAAGGAAGGAAGAAACTGAGGAAAGAAGGACTTAGGAAGTAAAAACTCATGAAGGAGGGAGGGACAGAGAAGGGAGGGATTTTTGAAATTTCAAATGCAGAAAAACAAGATCATTTAACTCTACTAAAGTTCTTGGTACAAGTTTGTTAGCTGGGGGATCTACCAGGGGTCTTCAAAAAATTCACGCAAGGATTCATACTATCTTTTAATTCCATTTTCCCACAACTTTTTGAGGTACCCTCGTATATTAAAAGCTACAAAATGAAGTAGAATTTAGAAGGCCAGTTAGTTCCAGTACTTCATTTTGTTCAGAGTCATCAAAACTCCATCTTCTCTTAGGGACAAGAGCACAAGCCTTACTCTTCATGTGAGTGCTGCTGGAAGGGGGCTACCTGCAACCCGCCCACACCCTGGGCTCTGCTGCTCAGGGTTTGGGAGCCCAGTAGGGAGCAGTGGGGAAGGAACCATCCGGATGGGATGGGGGAAAACTCCCTCTCAGCCTGAGACTGACCCATCAATGCAGCTCAGGAACCAGTGCTCCAGGACAGTGTTCACACGTTGCTGACCATGACCCGCAGTAAGAGATATGATTTCCATGGCCACCCGGCACACATATACATCCATGTGTGTTTTTTCATGTATGTGTCTGATTCCCTAGGTCAATTTTCCCAAAATGATAATTATTCTGACAGCAAGTTACACAGTCAGATATCTCCTAGTTCAAATTTATTTTCAATGCTGATCACAATCACTAAATTAATTTCATGACCGACAGTTTGGAAAAAAATACTCCCTCTGACGGGCATTTCATTGAAGGCTCTTCTAAGCCACGTGGGCTTCTGTCCCTTCCCTCCAATGAGGACGTGAGTAAACAAAGATGATGTAATGGGGCTGGCTGGTTAGCTCAGTTGGTTAGAGCGCAGTGTTATAACACCAAGGTCAAGGGTTTAGATCTCCGTATGGGCCAGCTACCAAAAAATTAAAATATAAATAAATAAATAAATAAAAATAAGTAGATAAATAGATGATACACATTACTTCAGAGGGGCTGCTGCAGACCCATTTTCACAGGTTGCTGCCACTGTGGGTTATTTGCGGAGTGGGAGGGGAAGGAAAGGTGAAGTTGGGAGGATATAAAAAGGAGTGAGAGAAAAGAAGGAATGCACCTTACCTGGACTCCGAGCTCCTCGCTGAGGTTGGTGAATAAGTATTCATAGCCATAAGCTGCTTTGCAGTTCAGCCACACCACATGGTACCGGCTCCGAGTGATCCAGCTTCGAACCAGCTCTAGAATTCCATTTAAACACTCCCCCTGGGCAGGATTTTTAAAAGACACTTAACACTCTGAGGAACCTCATTTGCCCTTTTCATTCCCAACATCCACAGGTATTTGTGCCAAGAGGGACATTTATCCAACCAACTTTATACTAGAAATGTGGCCTGGCCGGATGATCATACGGTTTCTCCAGGTGGACTTACCCGACTTGGAATTTCATAAAATCTTGGATCACAGAAAGTAGTATCTAAATATACACTTTGGATGTCTTTTACTCTGAAAGAAAGAAAAATTGGTGTTAGCCATCTAACATGACATAAATTATGTGTAAAATTTAAACTCTCAGTTATTTTACAGGGTATTCCATTCCATTTGGAATTTGGGGGGTTTTTGTTTGTTCGTTTTTGGAATTTTCTTGTTAAATTGACTTTGTTGGGAAATGATTTCCATACCATAAAATACACAGATTTTGCATAAATGATCCAATGGATTTTGACAAATTCATGTATCCAATCAGCATACAGAATATTCCGTTACCCCATTTCAAGGAGAAAAATTTGCTCTCCTGAAACAAATATTATAATCAAATTTGATTTCTAATAGAAACAAAGGCTTATGTTTGGTGGGAAAAGAGCAATAAAACTTTTTTAACTATGTGGGCTTACATTCAAGAATTGCATGAGGCCCACTACCTGCCCCCAGAGTGCAGAAGCTCCATTCTGGCAGCTTCTCCTTTCGCCAGTCTGAAGTCCCCTGTGTACAAGACAGTTCCATTATCGCCCTGAAATAAAAACCTGACAAGGAAATATATCAGTGACTTCTAAATCTCATATGAAATCTTAATAAAGCAAATACATGCTAAATCCACAGCAAATGCTTCCTGCCAAACATATCCATTATGATACAATGTTAATGGAATTTCAATAGCTTTTAAGTACCACACCAGGCACTTAACTGCCCCTCTTCCCTAGAGTAGAAAAAAATAACAGAATTGAGATTCTACTGAGTTTGTAAGAGTTGTTCCATGAAATATGTTTGCACTCTCAATTATATATTGAGATCATTTCTGTTCATGAAAAGAAAGATCTGTATGATGAGAAAATGCAGTCATTGGAGAAACAGCTATTGAAGACTTCCACGATAAGAAAGCCATGTTTCAAATCTGATCCTTACCTCAGTCCCCCAAGTTCAATTTGGAAACAAAGATTAAAGAAACTGCCAGAAAAATAGTCCATTCTGCTTATACATATTATTTTTTAGACCCTACATATAGTAAAACGGCAAAATAGATGAGCACCCTTACATAACTGATCCTGGGCAGTGACCAGCTGGTAAGAGAGTCACAACAATCTCTTCCTTCTAAAAAGAAAATAAAGAAAAAATAATAACAGAAGAAGTTATCATTAAAACCTAGCTAAATACAACCCTCCTTAATAAAATACATTCAAGCACCTCTCAAGAACTTGCTGCCAGTCTTCCCCAAATTCCTCATTCTCCAAATCCTCCAAATAAGTAGAATCTATATCCACTCAACAATTAAACACAGAGTTACCACAAGACTTGGTGATTCCACCTTCTAGTTACATACCCAAGAGAAATGAAAATGTCTATTCACACAAAAATTTGTTTATGAATTTTATAGCAGAATTCTTCACACTAGCATAAAAGTGGAAACAGCCCAAATGTCAGTCAACTGATGAACGAATAAACAAAATGTGGTATAGCCATGCAATGGAATATTATTTGGCCATAAAAAGTAATGAAACACCAGCATACGCACTACGTGGCTGACCCTTGAAAACGTTATGCTCAGTGAAAGAAGCCAGTCACAAAAGATCATGTTGTATGATCTTTTCATGTTGTATGATCACAAAATGTTCAGAATAGGCAAATCCATACAGACAGAAAGTAGAGTAGTGGTTGCCAGGGGCTGGGGCGAAGGGAGGTAGGGAATGACAGCAGGGGGTACAGGGTTTCTCTTTTGGGGTGATGAAAATATTCTAACATTGATTATGGTGATGGATACACAACTCTGTGACTATATTAAAAGCAACTGAGTTGTATGCTTTAAATGGTAAATTGTATGGTATATGAATTATATCTCAATAAAGCTGTCTGGATGTACCCCAGTCCCAATTCACCACATTGCATATCACACTGTCCTATTAGGGCAGAGGCTGCCGGGCAGTGCTGTCTCTCCAGCTATCAGCAAGTGGGGACAGAGCTCTGGACACGCCAAGAATGGTGGCTCCTCATGGAAGGCTAATATTCTTTATTCTGAAGACCTCTTTCAAATGGAGTCTTCCGTTGGCTGGTGCTGGATAAATAATGCACAAAAGCCAGGGCGCACAAGAAGACACATAAAAGATGAGAGTGGGACAGCAACACTCTGCTCAATAAGAGCCTGCCTACTGTTTGCTGCCCAGTTTTGAGAAAGCCTTTCACTAACATACTTGTCTGTGGCAAAGGCTGCAAACAAATTATAGTATTCCCTGCACCAGCATTTAACTAACTGAGCCCAAGATGACATTTAGAAAGGCTCAGGCCATCCATTTTTTTTCTCCTTTTTAACCCACCGAAAACTGGGTCTGTAATCCTCCCTTAGGATAACTTGATGAGAGGAATACTTCAACTGTCCGATCTTCTCCAAAAAAGAAATATCTGAAAAAGTCAGTCTCTGTTCTGATCACATTTGTACAACACAAGACACTTTCAGAATTAAACATGTTAAAGCCACACATTATAATCAGGTTACAGAACTAATATTAACTAGATTGCCAGAAAATAGGAAACTACCTCCTAGTCCTAGGTATAATTTAAGGTATTTTTTTAAAAAGAAGGTAAAGGTAGGTCCATATTCCTACTTACTATTAAAACAATACAAAATGATACAAAAAGTTCATGGACAGATTTGTACCATCTTTTGATTCTATTTTTCCATAAACTTTTTGAAGTACCCTTGTACATTTATAAAAGTACTTACTTCCAAATTTAAGAATAAAAAATATGTTTTATGCATTTGGGCAATGACTTTATTTTGAATAAGAAAATGATTTGAAAAAAAAATTATACATAAATTTGCTACAAAACTATTAACCATTTCATATCCTGAATGTTATAATAAACTTAATAAATGTGACAATGACATCATATAGTAGTAATATCAACACCTGGTGTTCCCATCATTAGCATGTATTTCTAAAAAAGAGCAACTTTGACAAAAAATAAGCTACATCCAATCCTTTCAGTATAGGAAATAAATACAACACTGTTATGAATTGAATGTTAGTGTCCCTCCAAAATTCACATGTTGAAATCCTAACCCCCAACATGATTTCATTAGGAGGCCTTTGGAAGGTAATTAGTTCCTGAGGGTGGAGCCTGAGGACTGAGGGAGCTTGTCTGCCACTCCTTCCAGGTAAGGACATATTTAAGCCAGGAAGCAGACCCCACTAGACGCCTAACCTGTGAGAGCCTTAATCTTGGACTTCCAGCCTCTAGAACTGTAAGGGATGAATGTCTGTTTAAGCCACCCAGTCTATGGTATTTTGTTATGGCAGCCCAAATGGACTAAGACAATCATAAATGTTTTGGTTTTTTGTTTTTTTGTTTTCCTAAAAACTCACACAATTACTAAGTTTTTATTTATGGCTAAATGAGCATTCAAAATCACGGAGAAAGACAATCATTTTAGCATAAATTTTTTAAAAAATCACACAATATTTAATATTTAGTTACCTCACCCGATGCTTCATCAATTAAAGATATCTGGGTAGGAGTTTCGACTTCAATTGATATCTATTAAAATAAAAGAAGAGATCATGTCTATATCAGTTTTTCATGGCTCTACACGCCTTTGCCATTTGGAACGTAAGGGACAAAGAGACGAAGTTACAGACCCTAGATGACAGTTTCTGATTTCACTATAATAAATATTTTAACAGTTTGAAAAAACGGTAAAGCAAAAATAATACCTTTCTTGAGATGAATTTGGCAGTATGTATTAAATGCCTTATACATGTATGTATCCTTTGACACAGCAATTCTATTTCCATCTCCCCATCCCTACCACTCACATTCCCCTCTCCCTCTGGATTTGAGTCTTTGTAAAAACATGTAGACTTGTGTTCTATGTGTTCAGGTTTCCTGCTACAGGACAGTCAATCAGCCCAGGACACATATGTCTCATTCACAGGTTCTAACTGCTGCAGAGCGCTCCCTGGTGTACTTGCCCATTTTAGTAGAACACTGCTAGCACAGAAGAAGCATTCAGTCAGTATGTGATGAATGAACATTTTTTTCTTTTTCGTCCACTAATGTCATAAAATTTACAATGACTAAGGCGTGGGTGTTAAAATATCCTTGCATTTCTAGAATAAAACATTTTATTCATGATGTACTATTTAATACTGTTAGATTCAATTAGCTACTATCTTAATTCGAATTTTCATGTGTGTTCATATATGAAATAGCTCTTTTTTCCCCCACATGCTATCATTATCTATTTTGCTAGCAAGGTTGAGCAGCTTATCTTATTTCCTGTAACAACTCATCTAATATAGGAATTATTTATTCTTTGAACACTTGGTAAAATGCACCTATAAAACCATCTGGGCCTAAGGCTTTTTTAGAGAAGAGATCTTTGATAATTGTTTAAATTTTTTGCTGATGTTTATTCAAGTTTCCCACTTTTCTTGCCTTAACTTGGTATTTTTCTGTTTTTCCAGATATTTACCTACTTTGTCTAAATTATCAAATATACTTGCATATTAATTTTCAGGAAAAAATGGTCTTGTTATTATTAGTACAATAGTTATTTTCCTTTTTATCATTCTGTATTTTTACATGCATCTTTTTTTGTAAATCCATCTTGGCAGAAATTACCCTCTATTCCTTTCTAGAACCAGCTTTTAGTTTTGTTAATCCTCCCATTTATTTCCTGCTGTATTTGTTAATCTCTATATCATAAATTTTTGCTTTTCTCTTTATTATTTCTTTCTTTCACATTTGGTTAGGTTTGCTTTGTTGCTCCTTTTCCATCTTATTGAGTTGAAGATTATATTATTTATTTTTAGGTCTTTTTCCTAAGAAACCTATTTAATGCCATCAATTTCCCTTCAAGTACTAACTTAGCTGTGTTCCACACATTTTGACATGTCATATTTCCATTGTCCATCAGTTCTAAGTACTGTATGTTTATTTTTACAATTTCCTCTTTAACCTAAGGGTATTTATTGTATCCATTTAATTTCCATACATATGGGATGATTTTAGCTGTCCTTTTATTTCTGATCTCCAGCATCATTGCATTATGGTCAGAGAACCAAGAGCACCAGGATTTCTTAAGAATTCTTTTGTGACATGGTCAATTTTTGTAAATGTTCCATAGATACCCCCAAAATATTGTTTACTCTGCTGGGTTTGAAGCTTTTTTTTTTTTTATTAGTTCACATTTATTATGTCATTCAAATTTTCTTTTTCTTCACTCATTTCCTGCCTCCTTTATCTTTCAGTATCTGAGAGGGGTATGTTAAGCTCTTCAGGGACATTGTGGATTTGTATATTTCTCCCTTAGATTATGTGGTGGTCTTGTATTACATCAACTTATCTAAGCTGAAACTTTTCTATAAGTCCCTTCCATGTTAGAGTTGGCCACAAGAAACACTTGGAAGGCAGAAGTGAACTAGCAGCCATTTTTTAACACTCTGAAGGGCACCAGAAGTTCTAACAGTGTATGTACACTGTTGATCTGGTTCAGCTCACTGAAACAGGACAGAACCACACAATTCCAGCTGCTGCTGGGCATCTCTCCCAGCTTTCCTTCCTGATCAGTGGCCAGGCCTAACACCAGAGGGAAAGGGTACAGCCTTGCTGTTGTGGTTGTTCTGCAGAGATGAGATGGGCCCCCCTCCCAATCAACAGGTCAGATGTTGAAATGGATGGTGCCACACGCACATAGAGAGGGTATGAGAAAAATGTCTGACTCACATCATGCGACTTTCTGGGAAGGCAGCACAGTATCCAAGCCTGGGATGACTGTGGCTTTTGTGGCTTGAGAGAGAACAGGAGGAAGAGGCCCTGGTTTTTATTGTGCTGAAGGGGTGGGCTTGGGCATGCCTGGTTTGAACTTCACGCCAGTGCCAAGCAGGGGCAGGCTTTCATCAGCTTGCCCAAATGTGGGGCAGAAGGGGGAGGAGGAGGCAGGACTTGAAAGCTGCCGGCAGTCAAACATCAAACAGAATCTTTATGACACCTGCACAGACTTCTCTGCCAGCTCCCCAATTATTTAACATCTAATTGACATAGCAAAGCCTAATTCTATTCACTCATTGTGGTTCTCCTTGTCTGATGAAGCACTGGGTAATAAAGTTCTAGCAGTTATCACTTTATCCAGTTGGAGTCTATTTTGTCTTTCTCCTTGTCTGATGAAGCACTGGGTAATAAAGTTCTAGCAGTTATCACTTTATCCAGTTGGAGTCTATTTTGTCTACTGCATATATGTTCACATCTTCTTGATCCATTGTTCCTTTTAACAGTAAATAACAACCTCTTTGACTTTTGTTTTTCAATTCTACCCTGTATGATATGAAAATTGCCAGTCTGGAATTTTTGGCTACTAACTGTCTTTTTTTCTTTTTCTTTTCCCCCATTTCAACCTATATTTATCCTTTTGTTTTAGCTATGTCTCTTTTAGACTACTACTTGCAGATCTTCCTTATTTTTTTAATCTAAACTGAGAATTTGTCTTTTGATCATGAGTTGAAGTAGATCCATTCATATTTTTAAATTGAAACATAATTGATTATACATATCTGTGGGGTAAAATCCGTTCATATTTCTAGTAATTACTGTTACAAGAGGACTTTTTCTGCCATCTTTGCACTTTCTATGCACCAGTCTTCCATTTTTCTTCTCTTGACGACTTTACATTGCATAGATCCATTTTATTCTGCCAGACTAAAAGTTATCCAATCTATTTTTATCCTTCTGGTTGTTACCCCTTTCTTTTATTTTTGTTTCTTTTTGTTGCTGTTGTTGTTTTTTTTAATTTCTTTTCTTTTTTTGTTACCCCTTTCTTTTATAACCCATAAATTATGTTTATTTCTGTATTCTATCCCATGATTTAAATAAAAGGATCTAGCAATTATGTTAATGAACATTTTAAACTTTAAAAAATATTAAAATGCATCTTAGCTAGAGGGTCAATCAGTTTAAACCAACAAAACTAAAGACCTGGATTACACTCTTGAGGAACAAGAAAAACAAATCAACAACGACAACAAAATTTCAACCTCTTTTTAACTGCTGAATTACAAAAGACTAAATATCAATATTCCAATTAACATGGATAACTATAGTATATGAAGAATAAGGTTTTGAATAATTCTAATGCCTTTTTCAATCTACCTCTAAAGATATTTCTCACTTAAAAAAGGAATTAGGAGGCAGAGGCTGTAGACCACCGCACCCCTGCCCACAAGAAGATCTTAGGATGCATTTATTAGCCACATGGGTGTCTTTGGAGTGTGACTTGTCTGCTCATGTCCTTTTCCAAACTTCTGTTAAGATGTTTCTAACCTATTTTTAAGAGTTCTTTATGCATTGAGGATGTTAATCTTTGTGTGTTAAATTTGTAACTTATCAATTGACTTTAAATTCAATTTGTGATGTTTTCCTTCACTTGTATGTTGAGAAAATAATTTTCTATATAAACATTAAAAAAAAAAAAGAATCTGTGTTATTCAAAAAATAAAACTTACAATTCGTTTCTCCCAAAATCTGTATTTCGGATTGGTTAACAACAGCTCCTTAGTAACAGGAGAACAGTACAGGTAAACCTTCAAGCTGAAAGGAAAAGACAAAAATAAATAAATAAATAAAAGGCTGCTTCAGTCCAATCCAAAACCACCTTGGTGACCAGGAAGCACAATTCATCATACATCAGTTTTCTCTAGTAATCTGGAAACTGCACTGGCTCAAAAAGTGTTACAGGAGTTCTCAGTGCCCGATGTCACACTGACTACTTCAGTCCCACCAAGAGCAGAAGGGAAGGGAAAATACTGTGTTCTCTGACCTCCTCAAAAAGTTCTCCCTTACCACTCTTATGTTAAAAATACATGTTCTTATGTGTCAGGTATGTATGGAAAGATATCACCCAATGTGAAGCTACTTCTGGAGAACAGGAAAGGGGTGTCAGGAACAGAGACTCCTGCTTTTTCCTTCATATAAATCTATTCCTTTTTTTTTTTTTTAGTGAACAGAAGTTAATTTCATAATAAACTTTAAAAATTCAATAGTATAGTTTAGAGGTTAGGAATATAGTCCATGGCTGACTGTATTTTCTAAAGATGGCCACACTACTATATTTCCCATCTATATATAAGCTTCTCAGTTTTTTCTGGTGTTTCAGGCTTGGTCTGTGTCACTGTCAATGTTGTGTTCCCTAGGATCTTGCCATTCAAGCAAATGTGTCTATGAAATAGACATCGAAATTCTTCCATTGACAGAAGGGGTCTATGTTCCCGCCCCTTGAACCTGGGCAGTCCTTTGTAATTGCCTAACCACACAATGGGGTGGAAGTAACCACATGACTTTCTAAGTCAGATCTCCAGGCAATATGGCTTCCTCCTGGCTCTCTTCTGAGACACATGCAGTTTAACCCTGAGTCTCCATTTAGGGTCAGGTTATCCTGAAACCATCATGCAAAGGAGATTTTTTAGAGAGAAAGTGAGAGAGATGCCCAAGGAGCCCCAAATGTTCTAGCTGCTAGCTGTTTGAGTCTTCCTAGCCCAGGTGTCAGATACTGAGTGTGTATTCAGATAATATCAGCCCTATATGAGGCCCAGTCAGGCAGAAACCAGCCATCTCCATTGTACTGTCAGAATTCCTGACCCACAGAAATTGAGATATAAGATGTGATTAGTGGTGTTTCACATCACTCAGTTTGGGGGTAGTTGTTATGCAGCAATAGATAACTGATACATGGGCTCTAAAATGAGACAGACCTGGTTGAAATCCGGGTCCTTCCATTTACTGGCTGAGTGACATTGGACAACTAATATAACCTCTCTGGTTCCTCAGTTTCCTCATCTGTAAAATAGAAATAATAATAATATCTACAAAAGGTTATCAAGAGGCTCTAATAAGAATGTCAACTCCAAGAAGGCAGGGATTTTAGTCTGTGTTGCTCACTCATGTATTCTCAACCTCCAGTATAATGCCTGCCTCATTGTAAGCACTCGAAAAAACTGCTGAACTCAAAAATAGGTACCGCCAAGAATACAGTAAGTATTCAATAAAGATTAGCTATCATTATCAAGAACACTGACTATTGCTATCAGTTAAAAGAAAAGCCTGACATCCACTGTTTCAAAGATCAAAAAGGCATTTTCAAAACATATATCTTGAGAATTTAGAATTTAGATTTATGCAATGACTACAGGAAAAGAATCCAATAGTTCAGCTTTAAGAAAAGATCCAACAATACTACATGATTCTTAACAACAGAACAATCATTCATTCACTCACTCACATACTTACAGAAATAAAAATGAATGAATTATGGGGCTGGCTGGTTAGCTCAGTTGGTTAGAGTATGGTACTGTTAACACCAAGGTCCAGGGTTCGATCCCTGCACCTGCCAGCCACCAAAACAAACAAACAAAAATGAATGTGCTATTGCTGCACCCATAGCAAGGATGAATCACACAAATATAATGTTAAGGTAGAAAAAACAAATATCATAGAGTCTATTCAGTATGATTCTATTTATATAAAGTTCAAAAACAACCAAAGCTAACCCAGGATGACAAAAGTCAAAATAGAGGTTATTTCTGAGGGACGGAAATGACTGGGAAGAGATAGGGGATCTGGGATAATGGTATGTTCGATTTCTTCATCTGGATGGAAGCTACACAGATGTGCTCACTTTGTAAAAGTTCACTACACTGTACCCTTATGATGTTATGTACTTTTCTGTATAGATGTTATTTTTCACTTAAAATATCTACTTAAAAAACACAACTACGACCACAAATAAGGACCGAAATAAATTACCTGCACTCCAATCTTCTTTTCAAAGTGGGGGCTCTTAGCCCTTTCATGTGATCTAAAAACAAAAGAATCAAAAATCATAAACACATTCTTTTTTCAGAGGATTCCTTAGCCCAAAGAAACTGAGCTGTTTTCTTTCTAAGCTTCCTTTTAAGAGAAAACACATGAGCTTCACTTTTATAACACAACTGATTCACAATCCTTCTAAGAACAAGGACAGGAACCACTAAAACCTGCCCGTCCCTCAGCCATCAAAAGCAATTTACAAGGAGAGTGATCCCCTGCATCATACAGCAGAGTTTAAATCTCTCTGAGCAGCCACAGAGGAATGAGAAGTGCTTCCATCCTTCTCTTTACTCTCTTTCATTTCCATCCAACCATCGTTCACCTCGCCCTATGTGACCCATTCAATCCTGCCACTCAAGCTAGTCCATCTAGAAATTTGAGCTTGCTTCCATGGCATCTGCTAGGAAATCACGCAGACTAAGGCTGGAATAAGAAGCATTTCATCATCTTCTCAGCCCACCATGACTTCTGGGTTGAAAGGTGGGATATTACTATCCACATAGGGCTTGCTCTGCAGCCCTCCAAATTAATGGACACAGACAACAAAGAAAGGAAACAATTAAACCAAAGAGTTCATTAAACATATAGTGCATTCTGATATATTCTGAATATTTAGCATGTGAAGGCCTAGACAACAATGACCCAACTCTTCTAAATGGTTTAGCTAAATCAAACCAATTCTAACTATTCTAATGGCCACCACCACCACATACACACATGCCCTCAATCTGTATGTGGTGATTGGTAAAACCAGTAAACCTAGTTCCTGAAGTGTTTCACCTATATTTTCCCTTAGTAATTTTACAGTTTCAGGTCTTATACTTAAGTCTTTAATCCATTTTGAATTAATTTTAGGGTATGGTGAGAGGTGCACATCTAGTTTCATTCTTCTGCAAATAGATATCCAGTTTTCCCAGCACCACTTGTTGAAGAGGCAGTCTTTTCCCCAATGTAGGTTTTTGTTGCCTTTGTCCAATATCAGATGGCTATAAGCCTGAAGGGGTGATTTCTGGGTTCTCAATTCTGCTCCACTGGTTTGTCTTTTCTTACGCCAGTACCATGCTGTTTTGGTTACAATAGCTTTGTAGTATAATTTGAAGTCAGGTAGTGTTATGCCTCTGGCTTTATTTATTTATTTATTTATTTTTTTGCTCAGGATTGCTTTGGCTATTTGGGGTCTTTTGTTGTTCTATATGAAAGGTAAGATTTTTTTTTCATTTCCATGAAGAATGTTATTGGCATTATGATGGGGATTGCATTGAATTTGTAGATCACTTTAGGTAGTACAGACATTTTCACAATGTTAATTCTTCCAATCCAAGAGCATGGAGTATCTTTCATATTTTTGTGTCTTCTCTAATTTCTTTCAGAAGTGGTTTGTAGTTCTCATTGTAAAGATCTTTCACTTCCTTGGTTAAATTAATCCCTAGATATATTTTTTTTTTTTGTGACAACTGTAAATGGGCTTACTTTATTTCTCTTTCTGTTAGTTCATTATTTGAGTATATAAATGCAACTGATTTGGGAGCATTTATTTTGTATCCTGCAACATTAGCAGACTTTATGAACATAAGCCTGAAAGCACAAGCAGCAAAAGAAACAATAAACAAATGGGACTATATCAAACTAAAAAGCTTCTGCACAGCAAAGGAAACAATCAAA